GTTCTATTTTATTTTTGCTATCTCAGCCCCCGCGAAGCCCTAGTGCAGCCTTTAGATTGCTTTGCTATTCCGTTGTGAACCGAGGGGTTGTTGCAATATCTCGTTGCGTAAGCCGCGAGTCGATGTGAAGGAGAAAGACACCACGGCGAAGGCTGCAGTCTACCTAAGTACTTAAGTATCCATTGATATGATTCCCCCCTTCACAACTGAGCAGAGTTGCCGCGGTAAGAGACTTGCGAGAGCTGAGTACCGTTGGGAGCCAACATACTAAACTAGTATGAACCGAAAACCTTGCGGCTTTGCAGGTGGACATCCGTTACTCTATGAGTCATCAATATACTAGTAGTAGTCACCATATCGCAATATTTACAATTGCATAACTGTAACCCGCTGTTTCGTAGCTCTTTTTCCAAGTAGTTCGCGAAGCTATTTGCTAACGATCAGGGCTAAGAAAGCCCAAATAACCACTGGTATTCTATCTGAAATAATTAACTGGGCATCGCATTTTTTGCGCAATATGAAATATATGCGTGCACCAGTACGAACAGTATTTGCTGTTATGAGCATGCGCAAGTTGCTGCAGCACGGTATAATATCATCCTCAACGAGATGTTTACACGAACTGCATTTATTGTTTTGGTAAGATGTCTCTATTTCCAAACTACATTAATTCTGGGATAGCAGTAAAGCTGCTAGCGCAGCCCAAATCCGATCATTTGAAGCCGATCAGATGAAGCCTCCCGTTAAAGTTGGATTTTAAGTATTTAGAAGGTTCTAGACTCAGAAATTAAGATACAGAAATTGATGAAGGTGAAGATCTCACATCAGAATCTCTTACTCAACCCGAAAAGCCCAATCTCGCTCAACTCGAACGCGGCTCATTCCCGAGTTTGCAGGATCCGTGGACGAAGGACCTGTAGAGGAGGTTGGAGCGGTTGGTATTCCGCAAGGCTATCCTATTGCTTCTTTGTCACTTTAATAGGACTGGGTACTTGGCTTCACATAACATTGGTCTATTGAAGATAACCTATTTTATCTAAAGCTATTATGGATGCATGGAAACCAAATGACAATTTTATTTTAGGGAATGCACCATCTCCTGGGTCCGTTGAGCTTACACTTCGTTCTATCGCGAAAAAGCTGGGTTATGTCGGCGGAAGGGCAGATGCAAAACAATAGTGGAGAAGCTTAGACCCTTGTATTTTGTTGAGTCCTCAAGACGACCAACGAATAAAGTTGCTTCAATATTAGTGCAGAATAACATACAAGTTGTATAGTTGTAGTGAATTCCAGGTCCAGCTTGGTGTCACCGTAGCATAACCCAAGTGCGTCAGCAGCACCGATTGATGACAATGGATGATCTCTTCGAATGATTACTCTCGACGCTGAGGTGGCTTACCGCGTAAACAGGTCGAGCAGTTGCGTGGCTCGACTGAAATGTCCAGTCGAGCTACATGAGGATTTAGTAGGCTCAAGTGCAAGTCTATTCTGTTTGTTCACTTCTTCGAGTAGCAGCTGCCTTCTAGAAGCTTTTAGAAGCTGCTTCTCTCGTTAGGAGGCTGGTGAGGCCACGGGCTGGTTACCATCAGACCCAGTGCCTCACCCCCTTCACTTTCGATTCTTCCTAGCAATACACAGAGCCCTACTTCCGTGCGGGTTGGCCCCCGCATCATTGTGTGTTGTGTTGCTTGGAACCCGGAAATACTACAATAGTGCAAAAAGTATAACCGCCAAGCACTACTATTTTATATAGTATTTTTGTAGGTAACACGCTACCTACGTGTACTATTTGTAGTATTACTATAGTTCCAAATTTGACTTGAAATTTGTATGGACGTACCAGTACTATATTTCTATACAGTCACACCTCTATAAATGACACCCAGTTCGCTCGGTCTAGGACGCTGTTTCAGTTAAAGAATTGAGCAGATAAAGAAATGGCTACACTTCTAATGGCTACATTTTCATATAACATTGTTAGGTGCACAAGGGCTTTCTTTACCTGGTACCCCTCCCTCCAGCATTTTCATACTCTTGTTTTGTTTCGTCTTCACACAATCATAACTCAACCAATAACGGTAGGCGCGGTATTGTCTGTTCCTACTCCTTCTTCTCATTGGTATTAGCAGAGTCGCATCCCCTCAGGTTGTACGTGAGTTTCAATACAGTGAGGTTATAGGAATATTTGTTGTCCCGATATCCTGCCACCATGCCTGCAGTTTTATCTTTTGCTTGGTATCTACTGCATAGCCCCTAGTTGTCTCGACATCATAATATTTTAGTTTTTCGTAAAATATATATGTACGCTGCGCTGATTGTAAAATACTGTGGCTAACTTATTTATCACAAGCTTGCAGTTACTGCAAACTCTTTGTTCCAACTTAGCATCCCAAATACAATTTCTCTTCGCTCGATTTGTTGTGGCGGGACTAGTGGTAGCAATGGCATACGTGGGAGGAGGCAGGCAAGTGATTGAGAAAAATATATGAGTTTGGATCTATTACTGCGGCGTCAATTTAGAGGGTTGAGACGCCAACAATGGCGACCATTTAGAGAATAAAGAGGTTTTTGATCAGTTATAGAACACCTATAGTGAAATCCATATAATCCCGTTTGCAGTCGAGGAATCCTAACCAGATAGGGAACACATGGTCAGTTAGAGGGGTTCATTTAGGGAATTGTCACTGTACCTGCGTCAGTGAATTCAGGCAAACTGTCACATTCATTTTGTCAAATCTCAGCGAAAATCACTGATTTATGGAAATTCCTCCAAAAATAAGCTGAGATTTGGTGCTCTCGCGGTATACTATTGGCTGCTCAAAAAAAGCAGGCATAAGGGAAATATAACAATTTTCGTAAGCCCGATTTTAGATAGCATTAGTTTGTTTTGCGAAATGGCTACAATTATTGGCGATAATACACCAAAATGGTACCATTGGAAAGCTTGGTTAGCTGTCGGTATAGTGCCGTGCAGTTCGCTGTCGTAGAACGCGTGCGGAAGGCGTGATATTCGTTTATATTTTGAGGTTTTTTAAAGTAATTTCGTGAGCTTGCACACTAATCAAACTTCATACCTAATCATATGGCTGAAACCATATATTTAGCGAATCAGGTGAGATCGCAAAAAATGAGGTTAAATTGAATTGTCGATTCTTAAGTGAGCCAGAGAAGTAAATAAGGCGGAATGTCACCGTGAAAATCGGCATTCCTAGCTATTTGAGCAAAATAATGATAGCTCTGTAGGTGTCAATGTGAGCCACCAGCTTTGATAGCATGCAATATGTAAGGTGGCAAAGTATTTCGAGATAGTGTACTAGATAGTCAACCCGGTCAGACGCTGATTGGCATGGAAGACTCCAGTCTCCGGTCTGTACTAGTCCTAAGCTGTCTTGGTAGCTCTTAGCCACCGTCACTAAATTAGACAGAGTCCCACCTGCTTGTCCAAGCAGGATTACTCACTCCTATTTGCTAATCGCTTAGGCTTTGTAGCTAGGTTTATCCTTATGTACGGATATTCAAATCCGATTAAGATAAATGTGTTAGCTAATAAGGTGTGGACATTCCAACCGCGTTTTACAATACGTAGGTATCCTTTCAGAGTTTTTAAAATATGTCGCAAATTTACAGGATCTCGACTACAACAAGGTATTCTTATTGTGGTTGGAGTGTTTTCTTAGCGAGTTATCTGCATCAAGGAAAATATGCTGCTTTTTGGACCGCCGACCAGTTTACCGCAGCAAAACATCTCGTTGTTTGTATAGGCGAAACATCCCCCTTAGCCATTGTGGTAAAAAATATACACACTTTGGTGAAAAATAGTACGCATGTTGGCTTTTCCTGCAACGCATTGCAGATTTTCTGGCGCTGTCCTCCAACGAGTAGGATGCAGTTTCATTGGCTATAAATCTCTGAATTGCTCTTCACGCAGGAGTAGAAAAAAAAGCTTTAGACAGCAAATATGGCCGATAAAAGCTCACCAGATGCTACGTCCCCATCGGCTGATGCAAAGGCCATCCGGGACGCTTGCATTTCGAAGGCCAGAAGGATGAAGTTAGCGGAGAACACCAACGGGATCAAGAAAGGGATTTGTGAGTAGCTTTCCAAGGAGGATCTCAATACTGTGCTTTTATCGTCTCTATTCATGGCCTGAACCTCCACGAGTTCACGCCTGTCTTCTTTGAGCGATTTTTGGTGTACAAGCGGGATCAAGCCAAAGCAGTAACGCTTAGTGGGTATCGGAGCGCGATTAAAGATCTGTATCGCTCCAAGAGCTTTAATTAAAGTGCCTGTGGAGTATGGCGACGAAATGAAACAGCTTTTCTCTGGAAACAAGCGCCTCGAGGTGAGCAAAATCAGACTAGTTCGCCTAAAACCTCTGGCAAATAGCCCTTGGTATGTTCGTTTTGTAAGTCGTTGTATAAATCTACTATCATCCACAATGGCAGTAGGGTTTCTCTTCGCACGACGTAATGAAATTCAATTTGCAGGTCTGCATCTGTCCAAACTCTCCAGGCCCAGACCATATTGAACATGGATGACAGTGTTGGCGCTTTTATTTTTTAAGACAAAGACTTACCAAGACGGTTATGGCCCGCGTAACCCGAGCCATCTCTATGTAAACCCGTTTAATTCTTAAACGTGTTAGGTGAGTGCACTGGGTATGTATCTGGCCTGCAACCCGCGCAAAAAAAATCGGGACCGTTGTACCCAGGTTCGGACCCCAAAACTCGATTCGGCAAGGCGATGGGCGGTCGTCTGAAAAAAGCAGGACTGCTAAAAGCTATGGAACTCACTCAGTGAGAAAGGGAGTCTGTATATTTGTGTGTGGTGGAAGCACGCGGGGGGGGGGTCTATTGTGAGTGTCTGCCTACGTTGTGGTTGGTCTCTTGGTGGAGTACTGGATTGGAGATCGGGTTTTAGGACGCGTGGTTGGTGATCTCCCTGCAAATGCTTCTAAGTTCGCTGGGCTGACTCCGCATTTTATTGATAATTCTGATGACGTGGCAAATCGGTGTCTCGCCTCGCTCGTTCACCAGGCCAATTTTGTGCTTGATTGTCTTCCCATCAACCATCCACTCCTGGTTTCTACGATTTTCACGAACCCATCCGTTCTTGATGATCTACGAGAACATGGAGACTCGAAGTGGATGGAAGGAACCGGAATACCTCCGCACATTGAGCTCTACAAAAAACTGCATAATCAGCAAAAGGAGATTGACGCGCTTCCGGGCATTCTTGAGCAGCGTATGGAAAAAGTACTGGAAAGAAAGGTGTAGCTGCTAGCGATACTACACGTGAACTTCTACGAGAGGAGATTGAATATATCTCATTGGGCTAGAACGTACACAGCAATCCGAGCTGGCAGCTTCTTCCAGCAGATTGCGTCAATATTGTTTATGGGGTGGGCGCTTTCACAAACTGCCTGGAGATTTTAATTTTCCTAGCATTAACCCACTTGAAGCTTATCGGCTGTGGTGGCCAGCATGACTTCCCGCCATACAGAAGTATTTCGTCTGATGACCTGGGCACATAAAAATATAAAGCAACTCTATTAGAATAGTCGATAACGATGAGGCATTTAATCAACGACATCGAAGCAGAGCTAGTCTCACCCATGCCAAGTATCCGTGATGAAGCTCACACTCTGGCGCTGTTCAAATGGGCTACGAGGAGTTGTAAATTTAAGTGCAGAGCTAGCAAGTGCAAGCGTAGAACGACACATCTCTAGTTAACCACCGTATTGAGACTGGTACGCGAAACAGAGCCCCCGCGGGCACGCACCTTTCCTCTCAAGGATCGAAAGCGCTCTGAAGTTGCTCACGGCAACACATCATCAGGCTCTCCAATTGGCGAGTAGTCCCAATGGAACCACAAGCTACACTTGTGTCTGCGACATGTACTCCCCAAGGACATGGCATATAGCACGATCGCCCGCGCTACTGCCCACGTCATCGTCCGTATTGCAGGAGGTATCTTTACCGTCGTCCGTGGCTGTGCTGCAACCACCGCCTCCACAGCAGACAACAACTCGGCTCACTCATGGTGCAGCGTCTCCTCCAGGCCTGCAACTCAACCCGCCACTAGCAGCGCTTGCGTTTCAAGCATTTGGGCAGTCAAGAAAAGAGAACCGTGAGTACCATCCTTCGCATAGATAACTATACAACATCGATTAGTAGCAGCAAGCTTAGTAGCACTAAGCCTATCAAGTTGTGTTTCGAACTCGCGTATCAAGCACGGTGGTGGAGAGCTATTGACAAATCGCTAAGTGCCCTTGCTTGACCTTGACCCAAGGATCGATCTTTACCCAATGAGAGGCGGCGCCTAGCCACCGTGAGCGCAGCGACGTCGTCACGTCTGAGTTTATGGGCACAAAGGTAAGTGATCCCCACCACGTATACTAGATACCGTAAACATCCGTACATGTATAATATATGTATACGTGGCGTGTATACACAACAAAAACACAAAGTCCTGCTAGCCGCTCGGCACAGCCCCTTATTCGCAAAGACATATCGCAGCCCATAAGTCCCCGCCTAACCCACGCTCTCCCCAGAGCCTCGATGGCATCATGCGAGTATGACGTCCGCTCCGGGGCGAAGGCGTTCACATTCCATAGCCTCATGCTGGTATGCATCACGGAGGTGGCAACTCTTACGTAGTGCATTGTCGTGTAGGAAAACACGAGTTTACGAGCCCTCGCCCTATCAAACGAAGTCTTAAGGACGAGCCCTACCAACAACACACGCCGTCTCGGAAGAGTCGGTGATAGATTGTCGGGATAATAAACCTGAAGACCAGGTCCGATCCCTTATACGGGCTGGAATGTGTCTCCCTGTGTGTTGCAGGTCAGGTAGGTTTACCCTTCGTTAAAATGAAAGAGCACCCTTAGCCACGAGCTACGGCCGGGATGCAATGTGTAATGTGTGCTTTCGCACTAAACCTCTGTGATCCCTCAGAAAGGAAGGGTACCAGGCCAATCGAAGCCACTTACAGGGGCGCCGGGGCGAAGCCTCGGCTAGAAGTCAAATACATTGGGGGGTCCTTGCCTCACACACAGTCAAACGTACAACTGTACATAGCGGTCTCTAATACCTCCCAACACTCGGCCACCTACTCACTCTTGGCCTTACCAGGATGAACACTCGGTCAATACACCTTATGCTCGCCGGCAGACATACCCCGTGCAGCCGAGTGTATCCAGACCCTACACTAAGTTTAGTGACTTACCGTATACGGACTTGACCCTTGTGTGGCTTGGGGGAAAAAATCTGCTCTCTGTTAATGGTTTAGAGGTCGTCGGGCCTCGCCCATAACCAATCCCTAATGTCTATTCAAATATCTAGTGTGGACCGAGCTTTCGAGCTGATCCCACAACCGGACGAAACTTCGTCCTAAATCCGAACTCCTACTGGGCATAAAGTGTACCCAATATGAAACTTCGGAGGCCTCGGCAGGCATTTTATTTTGATCCGCCGATACCCTCCTGTCACTCCGTAGTCTCTATCAATCTTCTGGGCACTAAAGCGCGGGGAATGGGACCGACCAATCAGAGCCCTCGGTCAGCCATCACTCGCAAGCTCAAGCAGTTAGACCTCGGCCGGAACTCGCCCACCCGCAGTCATTTCCCGATCTCACAGCATGCGTGCCGGCCTCATCGCATCGGAGCGGGCGTGCCACAAGTGCGACAACGTTATGGTACTTTCTGGCGCTGCTCGAAGTTGAGCTGTAGGGTGGAGAGGAGCGTGCGGACGGGCTAGTTCTTCGCCCGCTCCACCGTCCCCATCTCCAAGCTTCTGAAGGCGCTCTACTTTTGGGCAAGCGAGACACACGTCATGGAGGCCGGCCAGCACGCCAAGGTGACGGCGAAGACCGCGGGGAAATGGTACGCGTACACGCGTGGTATCTGCTCCGCGGAGATGTTACGCTGCGATTTGAAGATGAATGCATTTATTTTGATCGAAACTTTGCGTTGTGTAGCTTTACAATTATTGTTACGATATGTAGATCGATGAAGAAGGACACGTGGTAACAATTGACGAAACCAGTATGAAGAAAAAGTAGAAATACAACCGCGGAAAAATGTATGTAGACTGCTGGGGTTTTGGAGGTGTGGATCGGACTACGAAAAAGTGGTTCACTAAGGTTGTCTACGATGACCGAACCAAGCGCAACTTGTCCCAGTTTATCAAAACGTACATCAAACCCGGGTATGTGTATTTTTAAATGTTCCGGTACGATGCTATTCATGCTAACTTTAATTGCAAAGAACCCTTTAAATGTCTGACCAGTTTAAGTCCTATGTGACTGAGTGTTGAACGGTCGCACGAAGGTCACGCTCTACACGCTCGAGAACAACATGTTCCATGCTTGCATGCGGTACACGCACCAGTAGGTTAACCACTCCAAAACGTTTGTGGATCCATCCACCGGTGCGTTTATCAACCGCACCGAAGGAATCTGGGGGGGGGGGGGGGTAACCAAGGCCCAGATGGAAAGCGAGCGCGGAATGAAGAAGGTCGATGTGCCCAGCTACTAAGATCCGTGCCTATGGCGCACCTGGTATTTCGATCACGTCAAGAAGCCCAAGCCTAGCGACTACTTCCATGGCCTGGTGGCCCCGGCCGGACTGCGATAAATTGCGAGGCGGGGTGAGGGGAGTTGCCTTTCGATGCCTCGCAGCTGATCTTCGCAGAGGCAATCCGGAAAATGAAGTTCGCCCAGGCCGGACTGCGTCTACCACCACGCCAACCCGAAGCTCAAGAAGTTCTACATGTACCCCCAAAATGTGTCCGAGACTCTAGGGCTCATTGCGTGGCACCCACAGAAGTCATGGAAAGTTTGCACCTCAGCCGAAGACGCGATCAACGAGTCGAAGGGGTTTGCCCGTTGCCCGTTGACTCAAGGTGAGAGGTTCGTTCGATATCAACAATTTGAAGATTGCTGCCGTTTCGCCTCGCATATAACAGTGAAAGTAGGGACACCATTAGGGCATTGGTTTCGGTTGCCATTCCCGTGGAACCAGCTGACTGGGATTCGGTTGAGTCGGATTTTGTGTGCCACGGCTATCCAGGTATTGATGACAGAACCGTAAAAACACACAAGAAAAAGGTTTACCACACAGATTATGTGATATCACATAGAAATGGTAGCCCTCACACTAATTTTACGCTTAACCACACTAAATTAGCGGGTGACACACGTCGAGATGTAAGAGCACATCAAATGCCGAGGAAGTTGGAGGTAGGAGGAGGAGGGTGGGGTGGGGGTGGGGGGCTTCGAGTATTGTGAAGTGAATCCGCCCAGCGTCCTACACGATCACGAAGAGACCATC